ATTTTACTTCTAATTGTATTTTCAGTTTTGAAGATAGTTCTAATATTAAATTTTTTACCTACTCGTTTAATTTGATCTGAAAGTCCTGGAATAAACGGAATGAAAAGGTTCATAATAGGTTTATTTTGATTTTGTTTTGTTCGTGGGAATTCAATTTCGTTGAAACATTTTTCAATAAAAGAATTTGGATAATTATTGAAATTTAAAATTTCTTTTATAAATTGTTTTTCTTTGGAAAAATTAGATTGATTACAAATTATTTTTGCTCTATCATATAGACTTTTTACGATACCTTTTTTAACCATTATCGGGTGATTTGAGTCGAAATTCAAATATCGGTTAGTATGAGTAGGTTTTCTATAGACCAAGGTTTCGAAATTGTCTAAATTTTTCTGAATTAGTATATCGAGAAAAGGAATTTGTGATTTTGTTCTTTTTCAATAGTGAATTTAATTGTTGGTTTTTTATTATTCAGATAAGATAAAAATTAATCAAGTTTTTGTTCGCAAATCAATTATGAATATAATTCGTTCTTATTGCAAAATAGGAGCACTATTTATCAATCTGTAATAAAAGACGTGAGAAAATTCTGTCTTTTTTTTAAGACAAAAATTTTTGAGGCGAAATACCCAAAAAGAAGTTAAAAAAAACAAAATAGGGTTCATACAGCCGTTGCAGTTGCTCCATATCGCGGAGGAACACAAATGTTTTGGGGGAGTATTATGTTCAATAGAAGGACCCCACTTATTCACATATTGGATGACAGATTTACATAAGGATTACCTTGCAAATGTTCATAGAATTATACCCCTACGTGATGCCTTAGGGAACCAGTTCACCTTTATGGATGACAATGCCAGGCCACATCGCACCAGCGCTGTTCAAGAAGTATTAGAAAACCGAAACATCCCAAGATTAGATTGGGCAGCTATATAACCTGACATTAATCCCATCGAAAACGTCTGGGATTATGTATCAAGTGCCATTTTCAATCGGAATAATCCACCAAGAAATGCCCAAGAACTTCTTGTTGCTGCTACAGAGGAATGGGAAAATGTCCCTCAGGAAGTAATCAATAATTTGGTTATTTGAATGGATAGACGTGTGAATGCGCTGTTAAGAAGTAGAGGCTCAAATACTGAATTTTAATCATGTTGTTGAACTTTTTATTTTCAGTTGTTCGTTAGAAATTGCATTTTTTTGTTTTTAAAATGTTTGCATCCGGACTGTGATTTTCTTTGTATAACTGATAATTCGTTGAAATTAAATCCATTTTGCCGTTTTTTTAGAAGCTTTTAATCTAGATTTAACACCGAGTTTGCATGGTTTTTCAACATTTTAAAATGTCCAAATACTTGCGGGTGCAAGACTTGTGAAAGCGAGTGTATTTGGACAACAAATTTCTTTGAACTAACTAAATTACTGAGCAGATACTTACGAAAACGACAACAGAGAAAATATATTCGCCCTGTCCCTAGGATTCCTATTCCTTGACACTTTCCCTATATGATCCATATTGATAAGTCGAAATTCGCGACCAGCAATTGATTAAACCCGAAAGTGCTGTGATCAACCGGAAATGGTAACATCCACGAGCTCTCAGTCAATCCGATAATAAAGTCGCGAAAGAAAGACTTAAGACTAATTGCCAGTAAAACATCGGCCATCTAATATACCTTTCTGTGTAGTGATAACAGTTGCAAAGTAGAAATTCTCTAAGTTCTGATCAAATAAACATGTCACTCAATCTAAGCCCCATTCTATTCAAATAATTTGCAGATACTTTAAAGTGGAAAGCGTGTTTAAGAAAAAAATAAACTGCCAACGAGATAACAATAGAAACTGCTTAGTCTATCTATAAGGGTAAATATTGAGGAATTACTGAGTTTTGGATATTCTCGTTTTGCATCATGGGAGACATTCTAAAAACAGTTCGCGGATGAAAATGAATTAAGTTTTACTAATTGCGTATTTACTATTATCATACTTTTCGGCACAGTTTTGTTGTACATAAATATCAGAGTAAAAGTGCAATAGAACTCTACAAAAAATTGATTGTTTTTTAAATTTAATTCTTTAAAGCTAAGGGTATGATAACCTCTAATAAAGGACACTGTTATAATAACCAGTTTATGGAAACATTGCTGGGAATCTACCTGTTTTAGATTCAGCTTCGGAATTTTCTTTATAGTGACAGGTCTAAAAAAGTTAAATATTGGCACTCAATTTGGAGCGCTTGTGAAAAATCAGTGGTTGATTGGATATCCATCAAATTCGGTCAGTAGATCAGCTCAATATTTTCAAAAGTGTTGAAAAAGTTACAGATTCATGCCTCATTTGGGTTCGGTTTGAGTATTTCACTTTTGAAGCGATGCTGTTCCAAAAATCGTAAATTTGCAACTCAACTTGGAGGGCTTGGGAATCTTCAGTTGTTGCTTCCATCTTCATCAGATTTGGTGGATGGCTCAACTCAAGCGTTTCTATTTTTACAAAAAAAATTGAATACACGCATTTCCTACGGTTTCGGATTTCAAATTTTAATTCCAGAAAGAGGTTCTTTACAAACAGTTTAATTGCTACTGTCCAAGTTTAAGTGGTCGTGAAAAATGAGTGCGCGCTCGGATTAGCTTCAGATTTGGTCATTAGATTAGCTCAAGACTTATCAGCTTGCTCGAAAATTGGCAGAACTGCACGTAGGTTCGGTTCAGAATTGGAAGTTTATGTCGATAGAGATGTTTATTGCAAGAAACTCAATTTTGTCGATTAACTGGGAGTGTTTGTGAGAATCAGTGCGTTTGGTTTTGACTCAGATTTGGCTGGAAATGGCTTTAACAATTCGTTCATTGACTGGAAAATTGGGGGAAATCCATTCCTTTTGAGTTCTGATTTGTATTTTTACTTCTAGGAAGTTGTTCTTTGCAAATGCTTTAATTCCCAACTAAGGGCTCGTAAAAACTCTGTGCGCGCCTGGATGTGATGGAGATTTGGTCAGTGAATGTGCTGAAGGTCTTAAAGTTTGCAAAAATCGTTTTTATTGTCGCTCGACTTGAGTGCTTGTGAAAAATTACTGCGCTCGTGGATACACATCAAATTTTCTCAGTAAATTAGTTAAAGGGTCCTTAGTTTTCCTAAAAATTTGTAAGAATCTACCTTTCTCTGCTAAAAGCTTGTGTCCATAAAGTGACCAAATTAGCTTTTTTTGACCAAACTTAAACCTAAAAAATTTCATATTCTTTAAAAAAAATATATTGACTAGGTTTTTGTTTCAGAAATATTTGCTTCCACTAAAGGTGTGATAAACGGTTATTTTTCTGTAACGGTTACAACGTTCCAGTTTTACTTTGGTATTTTAGTGCGGTTCCAAAAAGAATATGTTACTTTTTAAAATATTTATCCAAAATTCATAATGATGATAGTAGAAATAGTGATGATATATAATGATTTCCTTTATTAAAAACATAATTCTTAACATTGGTAAACTTAAAATAAAATATTCTAAAATAAAAAACAAAACATAAAAAAAACTGATAATAAACTAGACTGATTAAATAAAATGTACGGTTGATATGCGAAAATGTTTAAAAAGCTCATTTTCATATAAAAATGAATTTACATTTAAGAATAAAAATTTTCGCAGACGCGTTGTACTGATTCTAGTTCTTCGTTCGTTTATGATAGCACTCGCTTTAGAAAATAAACTCTCGCAATTCGTTTATGAGACGGTTCCAAACACAACCTTTAAATCGGCAAACGGCTGCAGCTGGATAGATTGCTCGACTGTGTCCGAAGTGCGCACCGCTGTTTCAGTTTTATCAGACGGTTCCAAAAAAACCGGTTAAATCGGTTAGCTGTAACTACAGTTTCAGGTTACACGTTTGGAACACTGTTATTTTAGCGATTACGTTAAATACCGATCATCCCTAGTGCGCATCGCTGTTTCGGTTTTATGAGACGGTTTAAAAAAAACCGGTTAAATCGGCTAGCTGTAACTACGGTTACAGGTTACACGTTCCACGTTTGGACACTAAATACCGACCACCCCTAGTTTCCACTACGTTGTTGAAATTGTCCCCAATCTTTCCTCAACATGATTTTGCTGTTATTTTGTAAAGTTGCGTCTTTTCTTTTCATTCATAAGGAACAGACTTCTTTTCAGACAGTTTGGGTTGGGTTGGGTTTGGGTCTAGAAGACGCGACAAGCATGAAGATGAAGAACGGTTTCAAAATGTTCCATAATAACGCACAAAACATGAGCACGCTTCAGATCAATTTGAAGATTCGATTGTGGAATTTATTTGTAATTTTGCGTTAATACGAGTTTTTATAATGGATTAGTGTTTTTGACTGTTTGTTCATTTGCAAGAAAAACGCAACACATATTGAACAATTGAGCTGATTTACGTTTAGGACAATGATAAATCTTGCAAAAAAAAACTATTTCGGCAGGTTCATTTCAGCTTCATAAGTTGTGCAAAAATAACGTTTTTCACTGAAGGGAAAGTCAAATCAAAGAAAATACACTGTTGATTTGTATTTTCTAAACCTGATGAGAGAAATGAATGAACCCAGTCATCATTCATATCTTCACCTTCTAGTTTGCGACCTTCAAAATCTTTGAATGAATATGCAATTAACAACAGCGTCGACGTTTACGTTAGGTTTACAACAATACATTGCTGGATTACACTGGTGGCGTCTAGTTTCCCCAAGTCGTGCCTCTGTTAGAAAAACGTCACAATGATTTTCAATAAAAGCTGCAAAATAAACAGTTTATAATAAAACAAAAACGTAATTTTTGCTCGCAAAAGTTCAACAATGTAAAGCCGGGTTTTCCAAAATATCTTTGCTGGCAGGAAGTTCACTATAACAAAGCAAATTGTTATAGATAACAAATTTCAATTTATTTGTCTGTTTCAGTTTTAAAACATTGCGCAGCAACCTTAAGCAAGATTGGATGGTCCAGACAAATTCCATTTAACCCGATGGAATCGAATTGCTAAAAATGTGCTAAAAATGTGAATATGCCCGATTAGTTAGCGCAAACTGCATAACCCAAAGCTATGCAATCCTCGACGAACTTGGCGTGTTTAGAAAGGAATAATATGATATCGCCCTATTGAATTGCCAGCCACTTTGGCATAACTGGTCCATAACAATCCAAGAATATGTGGCTAAATTGCTCAACAGTGCTCGAAATTCGATAGGTGGCGAGAACATACCAAAGGATACGGTTGTTGGGTATCCATTTAATTAATGTTGAGTTACATTAGGGGCAAGTGAGTAGGTACTTTTAACAGAATACTGATTGAGTAGAAGAAAAGATTTAGTAACGTTCTTAGAAGTACATAAATATAACAGAGTTATTCTTAAAAACACTAGGGGTTCTGGGGGATATCGTAGACTCCGCATACTTTGTTGGCAGGTAGAGCTCGATCTGAAAAATTATAGCAATTTAAATATGAAATTTAAAAACCCGTCAGCTCGGTTTAGCCTAAAAACAGCACCTCCGAAACCTGTACTTGTATTTAACATTTTCCACCCACCGATCTGCTTAGGATAATCCAAATTCAAGTTATTCATGATTTTCACAAACTGATCCTCCGTCTTGCTCAATCGAGGATTGAGCCTGGATTCCTCATCCACAGTGGTACACGTTAATCCTTTGTAGTCGTGGGCTGGAAAAAGAAGCGTTGCAGTTGGCAGGCGGAAAATCTTCTCATGGACGCTTCTGTAAAGCGTTCGCGGGTTTCCTTCTTGAAAGTCTGTCCGTCCGCAGCCTCGGATTAGAAGAGCGTCTCCGGTAAAAGCAACACCCTTAAATCAAAAAATATGCATATTTTAAAATTTTTGCACAGTTTCGATGAAACGTTACCTGCTCTGGGCTGTAGTAGGTTACACAACCATTGGTATGTCCAGGTGTGCTCAAAACCTTCAACTTTTGAGTGCCAAACGCGATTTCGTCGTCCTCCTGAACATGAATATCCGCATCAGCCCCACTGGCTTTGGATATTACAGTTTTGCATCCAGATAGAACCCGCAAGTATCCAGTTCCAGTGATATGGTCAGCATGCATATGAGTGTTTACTGCAAACAATATTCAACTAGTTGGCTCAATTGAGTGCTGATTGTTACATACCTGAGTACTTTATGCTTAATCCTAGATCCTGAGTGATTTGGAAGTCGCGCTTTGCCTGCGCCAAGACTGGATCGACGAGCACACATTCCTTGGTTCTGGGGCATGCCAGCAAGTATGTGTATGTGCTGCTAATGTGATCAAAAAGCTAAAAAATCACAGGATAGAGATTAACTCAGCAATTGCAATGGTCTTTTACCTGTCTAAATATTAGCAACTGTGTTTGGAAGCTGCTCAAATTCCTGGAAGCTATTTCAAGCGCTGGACTTTGTGGTTTCACGCTTTCTGAGGGCTGGAGGTGAGGATGCTAAAAACTACTCAGTTTTAGTGAAGTTTCAAAATTCTCATAACGCAAAACTCAATAAGCAGCAGAAACTAAACATCGATGTGGTTGTTTTGAATTGTTTTACCTGTTTTTGTATCCGGAAACTCCGGCCAAATTTACTAAAATGGCGCACAGACTGCAAGACTCCATCGACTTTACCCATTTTTCGCCAAGTGCGGATTTCAATTCTGAAAACAAACGATTAGATCAAAACATAAAAATCGTCAACAATAAACTCATTAACCTTCGCTCATCTTTAAGCCATTTTTAACTTTAAATATAGAAGTTATTTGTATTATGTTCATGCAGTTCCGTTTGCGCAAATTGGCAAACGCAATAAGCTGTTGAACTGTGTTGTAATATCAACATTGATTTTTAAACTGTTATCAGCCACAATGTGGTAAATCGTCTATTACAAATAATACTTTTTTTGTCTGATTATCTGATGTTCCTTCACCAGTTCTGTATTAGAAAATAAAATAATGCAGAAGGCGCTTGCCTAAAGCACATTAAAGAATAAATTAGCAGAAATAAATTAAAGAAAACACGCCAGAGAAGATGCATATTCCAAACAATCAAAGTTACTTAAATTTAAAACCACTAAATTGATTTGCTGGTAAATTCAAGTTCGAAATTACTTTTCTGGCCTATGAGCTTTTTTTAAATACGCAATTAATAAATAATGTGATTTATAAATTGTAACAAAGATTGAAGGTTTTGCATTGTCGACTTTTGTCGAACTTTACTCATAATTTACGTACTAATGCTTAAATTAAAATGTAAAAATTGAAAAATATTTGAACTTTTAATAGAGAATGCTAACTGAGAAGTTTTTAAGAAGGAAACTGAAGCTATTCCTAAGTACCTAATAAGAAGATACCGTCTAAGTTTTGATATAAATTCTTAATGTGCAAGTTCAAATGAAAAATATACCTAATAAAATCACTTGAATTCCAAAGAGATAAAAACAGCTTAAAGATTAAAATTAAGTAATACTTACAAACAACGGGATTGTAGAAACATTTGAAAATTGTAAAGCGTTTTGTGATAAAAACATACTTTTTTAATCAGTCAGCCGCTCATAAAACGTTTTCAGGTGCAAAAATGAAGGAAAATTGATTATTTGCAAGTAGATTACAGCATTCTATTTGTTGAAAAAGCTAGTTTACATTTCTTTTAGTTTCGCTTTTCTTCAAATTATTAGTTTTTTTTATTGCTTGTGTGTTAGTTTATTTTAAGAAAATACCAATTAAGACAGGATGTCTCAAATTCAAGTCGCGGCTCAAAATTACATTTTTTTAATGGAATGCCGCACTTTTTATTGCATATTCGAACTATACGCAAAATCCTACAACTTCCAATCCACTTACATCATCAAACTGAATTTTTTGCACCATAAAAAAAGGGTTTTTTGAAAAGCGGACCAAATTTTACTTAAATTCCCACTTCTGCTGATTTTTCAGAAATTTTTGAAGTCGACAAGAAATAAAAAAAATCGTTTAACTTGAAGTGTAGTTAGACAAAAATTCGTAACTCCGAATCCACTTACATCAACAAACTGAAATTTTCGCACCGTAAAGAAAAAGGTTTTATCGAAAAACGGACTAAAGTTCACTAGAATTCCCAATTCTGCTGATTTTTCAGAAATTTAAAAGCTTGACAAGAAATTAAAAAAACCGTTTAACCGTTCAACCTGAAGTGTAGTTACACAAAAATTCGTAACTCCCAATCCACTTACATCAGAAACTGAAATTTTCGCACTATAAAGAAAAAGGGTTTAGCGAAAAGCGGACCGAATTTCACAAAAATCCTCAGTTCTGCTGACTTTTAATAAATTTTTAAATTTGACAAGAAATAAAAAAAAAACCCGTACAACTTGAAGTGCAGTTAGACCCAAATTCGTAACTCCCAATCCACTTACAGTATCAAACTGAAATTTTCGCACTATAAAGAAAAAGGTTTTAGCGAAAAGCGGACCGAATTTCACAAAAATCCCCAGTCCTGCTGATTTTAAATAAATTTTTAAATTTGACAAGAAATAAAAAAAAACCGTACAACTTGAAGTGCAGTTAGACCCAAATTCGTAACTCCCAATCCACTTACATCAACAAACTGAAATTTTCGCACCGTAAAGAAAAAGGTTTTAGCAAAAAGCGGACCGAATTTCACAAAAATCCCCAGTTCTGCTGATATTTAAAATTTTTTTAAATTTGACAAGGAATTTAAAAAAAACCGTACAACTTGAAGTGCAGTTAGACACCAATTAGTAATTCCCAATCCATTTATATAAACAAACTCAAATTTTCGCACCGTAAAGAAAAAGGTTTTATCGAAAAGCGGACCAAATTTCACTAAAAACCTCACTTCTGCTGATTTTCCAGAAATTTTTAAACTTGACGAAAAATTCAAAAAGAACTCCCAACTTTTAGCGCAATTGACAATTAAAATTGGCCAAAGCTCGCAATATATCGCTACGCAATCAAAAATAAGCCATTCATTAAAAAAAAGGAAATTTGGTCCACTACTTGAATTTCAGACACCCTGAATCAATTGGTATTATCTTAAAATAAACTAGACGTTATTATCTGCAACTTTTGCATTTCAATATTTTTCTCTAAAATTCAAATTAGTTGCAAAAACGGGGTGGCCAAAGTTCAACCAATAACCCTGTACATATTGAAACTTCAGAAGTGACTTCAGAAGGGACATTTTCCTGACATTATAAAGATTCAGAATTTCAAACAAACAGACATAGTGAAAGAAAAGCAAAATTCCTAGTTTTCTATCAGGATTTTAATAAGCCGCAAAAAGCAGTAGCATATCAAGATATCAAGACACTTCAACTCTACCTAACGTCAGCTTAACTGGTAAGTACGACAAATTTTGCTTACCAACATTGAACAAAAATAAACTGGAGGCTCTGTGCTGCTGTGTTTAGTAAAATTCGCTCAATGTTCACTCAGATGTGTGTCTTACAAGCGCAATATGTTGTCATAACGGTTTAAAAAGTCATGTTTTTACTCTCAGATTTACTTTCCATCCAAGTAAAAATTAAGAAACAAGAAAACTAAAGAAAACTTTTGAAACACGATAGATACATACAGTGTTGTTCAAGTGTCGTGCATAAAATTCGTATTCTTGTTATGAACGATAAAAAAAAACGCTGAAACACTAAATCTCATATTTACATGAGTTGAACAGTAATTTCAAGAAATTTGCGTGTTTCAGCGTTTTCTGGCAAAAAAACGATCATAAAAAAGTTTTTAATTTTATGCACGATACTTGGACTATGTAACAGAGAAAACTACTGCTGAAACTTCTAAAGAGCTTCACTTCACTTCAACTAGCTACAGTGTAGGTAATAAGAAGTTTAAAAGCCATACTTTAAAATTTAGCACAAAATATAAACTATTCAGATCTTCTTTTTGAGCTTTTCATAGTGGATTAATTTTATATGGGTACATAAAGTGGAGGATGCACTGAACGGTTTGATGCCGAAACCATAAAAGGCATCCCTTTAGGAGAATAAAGAAACCGAAACGCGGTTAATGGTCGATGAACTCAGTAAACGCACTCAGGACCGATCCAATCGTGCATGACTTCATCACCTGGAGACAACATGTAAAAACAACAATCAACAAGGCAAGGGCTAGAGCGGCAACGCTGTACCCCCTGCTGAACAGAAGAAGCCAGATGAATGTGAGAAATAAGCTGCTACTCATCAAAAGTGTCATCAGGCCGGCCATGACGTATGCCTCCACAGCGTGGGGATATGCGGCAGAAACCTACCTGAGGCAGCTCCAGGCCACAGAAAATAAACTTCTGCGCATGGCCATAGATGCTCCCTGGGTTGTACGTAATCGTCAAATTTACAGGGACCTAGAGTGGGAGCCACTACGAGACCTACTAAAAAGAAAAGCAGCCACGACCTTCGAAAAGGCCGAAAACCACCCCTTTGAGGAGCTACGAAATGCCGTAGATTACTCCCCAGAGGACTTCGGGCCCAGGAAAAAAAGACCCAGACACCAGATGGCCCAATAGGGCAAATAAATAGGTACAAGCAGTAAACTGCAGAGTGCTGTAAGTGTATAACTTGTAGAATAGAGTGATAGAAGTA